CAAAAAAAGACAATTTGAAGATAATATTGGGACGGAAGGAGTATAAGGAAAAACAATTGCATCAAATTTAAGAATGTTTTTAAAATGAGAAGATTCAATGTCAACTTCTAATGGCATTTGCAGCTCCATTAGAAAGTTCCGGGATATGTCTCAATCGTGATGATATGGTTTTGATGTAGAATCTTCCTGATGCAAGAGATAACGAAGATTGATTCCCAATGATGAGCTCAATATAGGTTAAATGACTATAAAATTTGATGATTCGGGATCTTAATGATGTTCAAACGCTGCTCCTTATACATGCATAAATTTAGAAAGGAATGAAAAGCCTCAAAGAAAGCTTTGTGCCAAGAATGATATTGTTGAAGAGGCGTTGATAGGTGTGTGTGATTTTCTCCCCTTTGTGATTACGAATGATGAAACCAATGTTGTGAGTGTGGCCATAAGAGGATGAACACACGGGCTACTCCTCATATCAGGTTGACCTTTTAGGATGGAACTTCAGGTCTTAACATGATATCAGAGCCAAATCGATCCATGGTGTGGGGGCCCTTATGAATCGTGATGACACGATTATAAAACAAATGACAATTACGGCCGAATGAAAATAAAACGGACCGATGAGAAAAAATGAATGATGACACGATCCAGACGAAGTGTCTGGTCGTGAGGAGGGGTGTTAAATGTCTCACACCGGAAAAGTTTAAATGAACAAAATGCTATATTAACACATGAGCTGCTCCTCCTATCAGGTTGACCTTTTAGCATGGAACCTCAGGTCTTAACAGTATAAAATATTTAACATGAAGTGGTTAATCAGAGGAGGTCTCTAGGTAGCTAAAAATGGTTACTCTTAGGGGATCTCGTTTATAGGGACCTTAAAATCGTTAAGATCCCGATGTGTGTTGTATATGGCCTCAGAATCATTTGGTGGGTGTCCTGGTCTATTAGTTACCGTATAGTTAGGTTTTAAAGTCTTTTTCAACTAACAAATTAAATTGAAGTCTTTTACAAAGACAGTCTAGTTATTTTTTTAAAAAATATTATACCCAAAGCCTAAAACCTACACTATTACGGGATTGTATGGGGATTAAGTATTTTCTGACAGGAATTTCACGGGCGTTAACTTCTATGAGAAAATCACATGTTAAGCACCCAACATTAGCCATCGTTCAGATTCCAAGTGGGAATTCATGCGGGTAACCTTGTTTCCAATAACTTTATCTTGTGTTTTCTGCCTTCAAATAACATGTGACATGGGATAATACTCACCTAGGTAAGACAGAGTTATCCATTTCGGAAATATTATTGCAAGCTGATATCGAGCATACTATTTCGGGGGAGAACTTATAAGAGTTGAGCTCTGAGAGAACTTCTAAAGTTGACTAAAATTTTTTTTAGGACTAGTATGTGACATGTGTAATGGGGTGGTCTCTCTCTCACATTTTCTGCTTAAGAATTCGAAGAAATGATTGCCTCATTTTTTGGCAATCGAGACAACCTGAAATCAACTGCTGAAAGTGTAGCTACAGCTAATCAGAACATTATAAGAGACTCACAGCTTCTTGCTGAAGATTTTGATCATGAGGGGGTGTTTGGCTATGCGTTCAATTCATTTTCAAGGGATGAACTTCTTGTTCATGTCCAAGAAAATGACAAGAGGGTACCTATTTCGGTGGTGGAGGATTTTTGGGATTCTGATTCAAATTGAAATAGTTGTTATAAAGCTCTACTAGTCACACCAAAAAAATTCATTACCAACACAAAATTTAAACACGCAAAAATGTTATAAAAAGAGGAATTAGCGATCACATCTTATGAGGACACGATCTTAGTCACGACTAGAAATTTGAAGTCCTTTGGAGCATTCCGGGAATTTTTAGAAAGGGGTTTCCTATTGCTCTCACGTTTGGAAAATCTATCTATTTATTTTCTCGTTATTTTTGCTTGCTTTCGGTCTTTTCTTGTACTTTACTTGATTGTCTTTTAATAAAATTTTGTTTGTAACTCGGTTTTATTATATAAATAAACAATAGATTTGAGATATATGAAATTACAAATGCTTTAAAATAATTCAAGAAATAATTCCATAAGTATTATTCTTTAAAATGTGATGAACATAATTATTATTTAGTAATTAGTGATTACAATTGTGTTCAAATTTACATCGTAGTTACTAAATGTAAAGTACTATGATGTAGACTTTGAACAAATTTATATTCATTAATTGTTACTAAGTCACATTTTTGCCCATAACACTTTTAGTAGTAATATCCCTACCATAAACACTAATGCTCTGTTTGGATAAAGTGAAGTTAAGTAAACCTAGTGTAATAAAGTAAACCTAAGTTTTAATAAAAACTAGGTTAACCTAAGTGAACCTAGGTTCATACGTAAAATAGTGTTTGAAAATATAGAAGGTAAACCTAGAATAATGTAATAAATGTTGTTTGGGTGAAGGTACTCTAGCTCATTTTATGTTATACGAGAACTTAACCTCCAAAACTCCCGATTAGAAGGTTCTCCAATTTAAGGTTCTTCCAGGTTCTCTGGAGTTAAGTGAGGTTAACACATAACCTATATTCTTGTTGCAAAAATACAAACAAACGAGATTAACTAGAAATTGAACCTTCAATAACTTAGGTTAACCCCAAACAAACAGGCCATAAATAAAATTAAAAATAGTTAAGAATTTTCTTTCACATAAGATTTCTAGGATCTCTCATCTCTGAAGTATGTTAAAGCTACCAAGGAAGAAATTAACGAAGTGGTCAAGTTTCAGGAAGAACCGGATATTGATGTTCTTGTTCACGGAGAACCTGATGTAAGTCTGCGTTCTATGCAGAGGAATGATAACTTTACTGCAAATTGATGGGTTCAATCTTACTGATCTCGCTGCGTGAAGCCGCCTATCATCTATGGTGATGTTAGCAGTCCCAAACCAATGACTGTGTTCTGGTCCACCATAGTTCAGAGCTTAACCAAGCGCCCAATCACCATTCTCAACTGGTCCTTTGTTCGAAATGACGAGCCAAGGTAACCAAAAAGATCCATAAAAGCATACATTTTGTCCTATCACTACTTCACTAATACGTCAAATGTTTTAATCTTTGTTTGGGTCTGTTTCCAGCTCTGAAACCTGCTATCAGAAGGTAGGAATCACTGTTTTCCAAATTGATGAAGCTGCTTTGAGGGAGGGATTGCCTCTTAGGAAGGTTGAGCATGCGTTTTTATTTGAACTGGGCTGTTCACTCTTTCAGAGTCACTAACTGTAGTGTCCATTAACACTATGTCTGGAATTTCTGATAAGAACCTTGATATTTTCAAACGGGCACTTTAACTCTTTCTGTTAAATAGGTACTAACAATTTCTGGGCATTTTAACCTTGCCTACATAAAAGTATTATGTGAAGTATATCAGAGATTCAGAGGTCCAAAAACAGTTTCTGCCTGTTAAGTGTTAAGTGTTAACACTTCCGAAACAGGCATTTACTCGAATTTATTGAGTTTGAGCCCATCTGTTCTCTAAATTTTTTGTTACTCTCAATTTTTTTTGTGAGCACATCAATGTTCATCTCTATGCCTCCCCAAATATTCGTCTTAAAAGAGTGGGATGTTGGGAAGGAGATTGCTTGCACTAAGTAATTACTGTTAATTATTACGATTAGGCTAAGATAAACGATAAATTTAAAGCAAGAACACAAGAATTTACGTGGTTCACGCAATCGGTGTGATTACGCTAGTCCACGGCGAACGAGAGAGAGATGTATTATTATTCCAGCGTCTGGTATGTTTACAGATACATTAGGGATGTTTAAATAGGTTTAAGAAAGCCTAAATAAGGGTTAAGGCCGCAGGCCCAAAAATTAATCCTGTCATTAATTTTTCCCGTATACTCGATCGAGTATACATACATACTCGACCGAGTATAGATTCCAGAATTCTGCCCGAGTAGTGTTTTTACACATACTCGACCGAGTATACCTCCATACTCGATCGAGTATAAACTCCAGAATATAACCCGAGTACCCCTTACACGCATACTCGACCGAGTAATGATCAATACTCGATCGAGTGTAGAAACCAGGGAAATACTCGAGCCATCAAACACCTCATACCCGATCGGGTAACCCAACATACCCGGTCGGGTATATACTCCTGCATTCCAAACAAGGCTCCATCTTCAACAATCTCCCACTTGGAGGCTTGTTCAACAGTCATCTGCCATCCAAGAACATGTATCCTCTGCAACACCCCTGATCTCTATCTCTCGTTCACACCTTCCCATCAAGTATCTGGAAGGCCAGTTGAAGCCATGCATAGCTTCAACTTCTCCGTTGTCACCACCTTGGTAAGCATGTCTGCTGGATTCTTCGTACCAAGGATCTTCTTCAAGTTTATGATACCGTCTTCAATCAACTCTCGGATAAAATGGTATCGCATCTTGATGTGTTTCGTTCTGCTGTGAAACACTGGATTCTTCGCGAGGTGAATGGCACTCTTGTTGTCACAGTGCAGTCCGCAATCCCCCTGTTCCATGCCCAACTCCGAAAGAAAGTTCTTCAACCAGATCAACTCTTTGGCCGCTTCAGCAATGGCCATATACTCTGCTTCTGTGGTCGAAAGAGCCACACTCTTTTGAAGTCTAGACATCCAACTGATCGCCGTACCTCCAATTGTGAATATGTAACCCGTAGTGCTCTTCCCGGAATCACAACAGCCCCCCAAATCAGCATCAGCAAATCCTTCTAGAATTACTCCATTCCTCCTGAAACAAAGAGCAGTTCCAGAAGTGCCTTTCAAGTAGCGTAGCAGCCACTTGACTCCTTCCCAATGTTCCTTCCCTGGATTCGACATGAACCTGCTAACAACTCCCACTGCATGAGCAATGTCCGGCCTTGTTGACACCATTGCGTACATCAAGCTGCCAACGGCTGATGCATAAGGGACTTTAGCCATCTCATCTTTGTCTTCATTGGTCTTTGGAGACTGCTGCTTGGAGAGTTTCAGCTGACTCCCTAAAGGTGTACTCCTTGGCTTGGCATCCGTCATTCTGAACTTCTCAAGGACTTTCTGAATGTACTTCTGCTGTGAAAGCTTTAAAGTACCTTCCACCTTGTCTCTGACTATGCTCATCCCAAGAATCTGTCTCGCCTCCCCTAAATCCTTCATCTCAAATTCTTCGGACAACTTCTTCTTGAGCTCGTTGATCTCCTGCATGTTTGATCCAGCCACCAACATGTCATCAACATACAAAAGAAGAATAATGTATGATGACTTGAATTTCTTCAAGTAACAGCAATGGTCCATCTTGCATCTAGTGTACCCATTCCGCTGCATGAAACTGTCAAACTTCAAGTACCACTGTCTGGGAGCTTGCTTCAATCCGTATAGACTTTTCTTGAGTTTGCACACCAACTTTTCCTTACCACTCACTGAGAAACCTATCGGTTGAGCCATGTAAATGTCTTCTTCAAGGTTGCCATGAAGAAAAGCAGTCTTCACATCCAGCTGCTCCAAGTGTAAATTTTCATCTGCAACGATACCAAGAATCAACCTGATAGTGGTCATCTTCACAACCGGGGAGAAGATTTCATTGTAGTCAACCCCCTTTTTCTGTTGGAACCCCTTGACAACTAGCCTGGCCTTGTATCTTTTGCTTCCATCTGCTTCATCTTTAATTCTGAAAACCCACTTATTTTCCAATGCTTTCTTTCCCGGTGGTAACTTGACTAAGGACCAAGTTTGGTTCTTGTCAAGTGAATCTAACTCATCTTTCATGGCCTTCTTCCACTGTATGGAATCTCTTACAGCCAACGCCTCTGAGTAAGATTCTGGCTCTCCATTCTCGGTCAGCAATAGATAATTTGCTGAAGGAGAATACCTGTTAGGAGGTCTCCTGATTCTGGTGGACTGTCTGATGTGTGGAGTAGCTGCCTCTGAACTCCCACTGTCTTCATCACTCCCACTATCTTCAGACATTCCTGTATCTCCTGAGCTCCCACTGCTCCCTGAGCCTCCAGCCGTCTCATCACAACCGACTGGTTGTGCTATGTCATCTTCAGTCATCCCTTCAAACACCACTTGCTGTTTGTTTTCCGGTTGCTTGCCTTTGCTTGTTCCTGCTGCAAGACCATCTTTATAAAGAGCATTCTCGTTGAAGGTGACATCTCTACTTCTGATAACCTTCTTGCTTTGGTTGTCCCAGAACCTGTAGCCCATGTCATCCGACCCGTACCCAATAAAGATACACTTCTTTGCCTTTGCCTCAAGCTTGTCACTATCTGCATCTCTGACTTTGACATAAGAAATACAACCAAAAACTTTCAAGTGATTAAGAGATACCTCACGACCTTTCCATTCCTCTTCTGGAATTTTGAAACCAATGGGAGATGAGGGTCCTCTGTTGATTAAGTACGCTGCTGTGTTCACTGCATCGGCCCAGAACATCTTGGGAAGTCCTGCCACTACATAAAATTTCATTTATAGAGGCAACTCATTGGGGCAACCTATATATTATTGTCTCTAAAAACCTGTTTTTGCATCAAATGGATAATGGTTGCCTCTAAAAAGTGCTATTTGAGGCAACCTTGCTTTCTTTGCCTCTAAAAGGTGCTATTTAGTGACACAATTGTATGATTGCCTCTAAAAAGTGTTTCTTGAAGCAAACTTTATGGTTGCCTCTAAAAGTGTTATTTAGAGACACTTTTATGATTGTCTGTAAAAGTTAATTATACTTTTAAGAGACCGTTTCGTAACAGTGTTTTTTGACTTTTCAGACAAATTTTTCACCAAAAACGTAAATTTTGATTTATTTCATTAAATTGTGTAATAATCAAAATAAGTAATGTCGGAGTTATTTTCCTAGTTGCATTAAATGAAGTTATTGTAGAAGGTCATTTTAGCTATTTTCATATGATATTTTCTTTATTTTAATAATGAAAAGTTTTTTTTATAAACCAACATAATCAGTCAATACAGTCATTTCACAATTAAAATTTAATCAATTTAACAGAATTACTCGATTTATCTAATTTTGCTATTATGCTTTAAATATAATTAATATTCTTTTCTCTTTCCTCCTCCAGCCTTTTACGGTCTAATTGTTCCCTCAAAAATTTTCATTACCGCCTTTTAGTTTTGAATCGAAATAAAAAAAAATTCACTAACCGCCTTTTAGGGCCCATGCCCGCACTTCTTTTCTAGCCCTAAGTCCTTAACGCAGGTTTAGGTTTAGAGGAGCTCTTCCATTCAATTATCCCATTGAAACTGCGACTAGGACGAGCTCGAAGCGGCAAACAGAACTGACTTGAGCGGCAAAGAAGGATGAGAGGAGCAATTTCTAAGGGTCGAGAGCAAAATCTAAGGTAATAACCCTAGCCCAAATCAAGCATAGACCGATTTTATTTTGGTATCGGCTAACTTAATTAGGGTTCGATTCCTCTTCTCCTTCAAGCTTCATGAAGTTCTGATATCGTTTTCTAGTCAAGCTTCTTCAAAAAGATGGTAATACTCATTATTAAATTCATCATCCCCTTGTTTAAATGCATGAATAAATACAGTGTTTCTAGCTCTCTGTCATGGATTAATATAATTTTCCAGATTTTTGTATTCATCTTCACTCTTGGATGACAAAACATAAGTAATGCTTTAAGGAGCTTGTGAAATATGGTATTTGTAACACATTCCAGGTTTATAATTGTGGGAGTTCACTTGAATTTTTGTATAGTGCTAACTCTTTAATTGAAATAGCATCTGGTTTACACTTTTACAGCAAATCAAAGAATGGGCAGAATAACGAAACTCCATTCCACCAGTGTCACTTGCAAAGATGTTTAAAATGATCCAAAAGTATCCAATGCTATTCAAGATTTTCGAAAAGGTTAAATGTATACATAAACTATTAAGCTCAATTTTATACCTTAGTATTATTTATGTACCCATGAGTAATAAAGTCAAATACATGAAGCAGGTATTAGTAAGAGAGAAAAAGTAGAAGACGATCAAGACATCATTACTTATAATGAAGGTATACAATTCATTTTCAATTTTTTAAAACAATGACATGTCCCTTGTTTACATTCACATCTACAAATGCATAGAGAGAAGTGATTGTATCTAATATGTGGTGTAGCTATTGCTTGAATTATTTTATCTCCGTTTGTTAGATAAATGGTAACGGTCCAGATTGATAAATCAATCTGCCTTTTATCAGATATTCTCTGTTTATTTTTCCTCTGTTTTCTGATTTTCTCGGTATGCTCTCTTAGGCAAATCTCTCTCTCCTTTTTCTCATCCTTTAGTTTTGTTAAATTGTTACTATTTTTAAGCTTTTCATTTGCCTTAGAACTGAAGAAATTAAAACTAATTAACTCCAATGATTTTGAAAGGATTTTATAAATTGGCGATGAATATTTTTTATAAGTGACTTTCCTCTCATTCAGTTGACAAAATGTTCTGTTTGGCTATTATTAAAATATATTTTCATAAATTGATATAAGTTACATATGCTTCATAGTCACTGAAACTTGTAGTTGTTCAACACAGTTTTGAACATGATTACCTCAATGATATGAATGCAAAATGAATAACCTGGACTTCTAAGGGAAATATATTTAAGTGGAGTTATGGACCAAAAGATTTCAATAAATCTAAATCAATCAATCAGATTTCAATATATATATATATATAGATATATATTGATATTTGCAAGACTATTTTTTTCCCATGTTGGCTTGCCTCATGGCCCTCATTCATATATCCATTTGATGCTAACCCAGAAAGAAAAGTTAGATGATTAACACACCAGTAGTCCGTACTCCGTAGTGTTTTTCTCAAGTTGTAAAAGAGATGGTAATATTAATTTCTTTATTGTGATTTACTATATTGATTAATTATTTATTTATCCGCTAGAAGTACTTTTGTCATATTAGTTTGCAACTGGCAGAGTAATACCTGGCATGCTGGAAGTGGACAAGAGGAGTCATACTAAACATGAATATGTGATGAAACTCCGGCGACTAATGTTGCTAAGGAAATATGGTAAATGACTAACATTCACTTATATTCACTAAATTAATCTATGAGTTTTATCAGTGTGCTTTAACTTTTATCAGGTCAATTCAATAACATTTTTTATAAAACTCAAACTTGATAAATATTGAAGTGTTAGCAGTGTGGTAAGGTCTTTGCTGTCTTGCTGATATAATTTCTCCTATGATCCCAGCAAGTGAAGCACCTGTGCTGATTCTAGAATGTTTTTTTGTTGATGGGATCGACCAAAGGATTGATAAGGCTATGCAGGAAAGGCAGAAAAGGTGGTTGGGGCATGGAGAAAGGTTGATTTATGGAGGCCTGGGGGTGCAGCACAGATGCCTCCCTTGCTGACTTTGCAATATATACTTATGGACTGGAGGAGCATATTAATCCTGGATGAGAATCTAAAGATTCTAATAACAAGAGAAAAGTAGCAGCATAGAGTTTCTCCTCATCAATGGTTGATTCAAATAAGAAGCTAATTGTCTGCTGAAGTCGGTACTCCAGTGCTTGGAAGATCACAATGTAAATCAATGAGATGATCGCAGGCATTGAGAAAGAAATCACTAAGCTAAACAAGATAACAGCAATCCAAAAGAGAAGATGGTGATGATGAGCATCATGATGATTAGATGATGACGAATGATCTCTCCAAACTCATGTGCTGTCCTTAAACTTTCAGCTCTAGTTAGTTTGGTTTTACAGTAGATTAGATTCAACGGATTATTTATGTGGCTACGATATTCAGTTATTAAATTAAAATTTATATTGATATTTTGTGTTATGTAAGGAAAGCATCTATTTATGTCATATTTTATGTTAGTATTAGAGATTTTTTAATATTTAAAGAAGTATGGAATTGGGCATCTGTTGATTACGATAAAAATTAAATTGCATTGAATGATTTTTAGGGGTGATATATAATAATATAATAGTGCCTCTAATAACATCTTGAGTCATTAAAAGTAGTTGCTTCTAATAACATTTTGTGACAACATAACATGGTGCATCTAATGACCTTTTGAGGCAAAGAGATATGGTTGCTTCTAAATATATCTTTTAGAAGCATAATTGTTTTTGCCTCTAAAGACAGTTTTTAGAGGCAACCATCATTTTGCGACCGAGTATTTGTTGGCAACCACTAAGTTGCCTCTAAAGAGCATTAGAGGCTACTTTCCTATTTTTAGAGGCAATTTTGTTATGCCTCTACAAATCACTTTTATTGTAGTGTGCATGCAATCTCATGCTTCTGGCCCTTTCATTCAATGTTCTGTTCATCCTCTCTGCAACACCATTTTGCTGTGGTGTTTCTGGAACCGTCTTCAGCATTCTAATCCCCTGTTCAGCACAATACTCTACAAACTCTGTGCTACTATACTCACCCCCATTATCACTCTTTAAACACTTAATTTTGAGATTTGTTTCATTCTCAACTGCAGCTTTGAACTTCTTAAAAGTGTTAAAGACATCGGATTTATTTTTAAGAAAATAAACCCATACCTTCCGTGTAGAGTCATCAATGAATGTAACATAGTAGCGGGAACCTCCAATTGAAGAGACCTTTGTAGGTCCATAGACATCTGAATGAATCAACTCCAGCCGCTCAGTCTTGGGTTGCTGTCCTGTCTTCACAAAGGTTACCCTCTTTTGTTTGCCTAGAACACATGGCTCACAAAAGGTCAACTTTGAATTCTTCAAATCTGGGATTTTGCCCTTTGAAGACAACATCTTCATTCCGTTCTCACTTATGTGCCCAAGTCTTTGGTGCCACAAGGTAGAGACCCCTGTATCTTCAACTGCTGCGTTTGCCCCATCTGTGGACACTTCAACCATGTACAGTGTACCATGCTTTTGCCCACGAGCAATGACCAGCTTTCCCTTTGTTACCTTCCATTGCTTGTTGCCAAAACTAACGTTATGGCCTTCCTCATCAAGCTGTCCTACTGAGATCAACATCTTCTTCAGGTCTGGAATATACCTGACATCTTTCAGCCTCCAGGTTGTACCCAAAGTGGTACTGAGATCAACATCCCCAATACCCGTGATCTCCAGGGATTTATCATCCGCCAAACGAACTCTTCCACCGTAGGGCCTGAAATTTTTCATCAAATCCCTGCAATGACAAGCATGAAACGACGCACCTGAATCCATGATCCAGGACTCAACTGAATTCTCAACGCTGCAAATTAGAACATCTTCATAATCCTCTGCCACATTCACCTCCTTCTTGCCTTTGTCTGCTGGGGCTTTTGGGCACTGATTTCTGAAGTGTCCATTCTCCTTGCAATTCCAACAATTGATGTCCTTCCTGTTCTTGGATTGACCCCTCTTCCTCGACTTTGATCTTCCCTTCTTGTTACCCCCCTTTAGTGGATTTTCTGCCCCTGTCTTCAGTACTCAACAAACTATTGGAGCTATCCCCCGAACTTCTCCTCCGGATATCCTCACCAAGGATTAAGTCACGAATACCTTCAAAGGAAAGCTTAGTGGTTCCAGCCGAACTACTAACTGCTGTGACTGTACCGGACCAACTATCGGGCAAAGATGATAACAAAAGTAGTGCTTGAACTTCATCATTGACGTGCACTTTGTCGTGAGTGCACTCAAATTAAATTCAATACTAACACTTATACGTAGTATAGCGTAGTAGAGTTCGTATCCACAGGGAAAGGAATAATTCTCTTTTTATAAAACTAGTAAATAAAAAGGGGGGTTTTGGGATTGAATGATTTAACTTAATTAAACATAAAGATGAACAACTTAATTTAAAGATAAAAAGGACTTGGCATTGCTACTTTCCACTTGTTGATATATTTTAGTCGTTCATTGTTATATCTATAACTAATCCCCTCTCGAATACTCAATCGAGGAGTATATCCAATTCATCGAGGGTAGTTATTAACAACGACCGTTCATTAATAACCCTTACTATTAGTCATGTATAGAACACCGCCATATACCGACTTAATAGTAGCATTTAATCTCTTAACCCCTTGATGAAATCAATTGAGATTGATAACCTCAACACAACGGTTTCGGTTTAACCAACAAAATTAATCCCTCTTAAGTTTATTAACCACGACCGTGCATTAATAAACCGAAGTTACTTACTTGTGAAACCATCAACGATTAACCATCGGTTCGTTGATCGTTTCTAGTAGTAATTAATGTCGAGATGTTAACTAATTGTCATCTTAGCAACACTCCCCAACATTAATATAGAGATAGATTAAGGGAAGAATTAATATTCAAGGAAGAAGATTAAATATGAATAATCCTACTATAACTAATGTCAAGATGTTATCTAATTGTCATCTTAGCAACACTCCCCAACATTAATATATAGAGGAAGAAAATAAATACTACTATAACTAATGTCGAGATGTTAACTAATTGTCATCTTAGCAACACTCCCCAACATTAATATAGAGATAGATTAAGAGAATAATTAATATTCAAGGGAAGAAGTTAAGAAAATAACTCACAACTTTAATAATCAACAAGCTTCAAGAGCAACACCAAGAAATGGAAGTTTAGCTCCTCATTTGGAGACTAAACATGCTATAAAATATAAAAGAAATACTATTCTAAACTGAGCTTAAGAGTGTGGAAGAAGGGATGATTAAAAGTGAAGGAAAATGGGGCTATTTATAGGTGTTTTTCAACACCTTTGGCCGGGTACCCGACCGGGTAAAGTGCCCACCCGACCGGGTGCATGTCAAAATCAAATATATTCCACGTTCTGGCGATCTTCGGCACGTTCTGGTGTTCCGGGTCAAGTCGGACCCGACCGGGTGAAATACCTCACCCGACCGGGTGATGTAATTTCCTGAGCAGTTTCGCATTTAAATTTCTCACCCGACCGGGTGCAATACCTCACCCGACCGGGTGATTGTCCTGGGCAGCCAAGAATTATTTTTCTTCACATTCAAAGTCTTCCTTTCCAACACCATAAATCCTAACTCTACTTTACAACTTACAAATGAGAATTAAAATACAATTACAACTAAAATCACACAAATGTTTATAAACTAAATAAAACGATAAACAATACACACAAATCAAACATAAAAACACACACTTATGCACTACTAATTAGTGCATATCAAATACCCCCACACTTGAACCTTTACTCGTCTCGAGTAAACAAAATCCAGCCCAAGAAGTCCTTAAAATGACAAGAGTATCAACACCAACATCCACGTGTGTTTGTAGAACAACACAAAAAATATCCTCAAAAATATAAGAGTAAAGAGGGGTCTTCAACTCCACATTTTTTTATCAACCTCAATTTTTTTTTTTTTTCATTGTTACCCTTAGGATCCTGCAGAAATAAAAGAAAATACTTTCTCTCATTCTCTCGTTTTGCCTAGGTGCCCTTTCGGGTTTTCATCCCAGCTTCCCACATTTTTCTGTTTTTATCCTCACAACTCACTCTTATTTTTGCCTTATTTTTGCTTAAGTTGCCTTTTCAGGTTTTCAACTTAACAAGCTTTTTTTTTTTTGAAAATAAATACAAGAATATAGAGTATGAATGTGAGTTTTCCATGAAATTCTCCCCCCAAGCTAATCAAAGCACTGTCCCTAGTGCGTGTGTCAGAGATGTCCAAGAGAATGAATCTTTTTGCCCTTTTTGGTGTCATTTCCTTTTTTTGGGGTGAGGAAGTTTCGGCTTTTGTTGTTTTTGGAGTGAGGGGGTTTGGATATTTGGTTATTTGGGGCGGTTTTTTTTTGGTGTAGGAGTGAAGATGGTGATGAGGAGATGAAGAAAATGGGGTTTTTGATGGATTTGGTGTAGAAATGGTGGGGTTTAGAAACTTTGGAGCTCAACAATAGAGATTTGGGGGATTTTTGGTCGTGGGGAAGAAGAAGAAATGGGGAAGAAAGCTGCCTGCCCGCCCGTCCGGGTATAGTGACTGACCCGGTCGGGTGTAAGCTGTTCACCCGAGGCAGAGAGTTTTTTGCAGGGTTGCCCGGCCGGATATAGGGGTCTACCCGGTCGGGTGTGTCTATTTTTCTCTGTTCCTCAGCTGCCTCGCCCGAGTGAGTTGTGCGGGTAGGGTATTTTTACGCTATACCCGACCGGGTGTAGTGTGGTACCCGGCCGGGTATGTTCCCCAGGCTTCACTTTTTTTTTTTTGAAGTGTAAACTTAAACTAGAACAAAAAGTAAACGTACCTTACATGGGTTGCCTCCCAAGAAGCGCCTCGTTTAACGTCGCGGCACGACGCCATCATTGTGTTCAATCGTTCAAGCTTGGATCATGATAATTGATTTTCTTCAAATTTTCACTCCTAGGACCTCCATAGGAGTGCTCAATTTCTCGACTCTCCACTTTGGAAATCTTTCCAGGATCAAATATCCAGATTTTCATTGATTTATGTGGTGGGAGGAAGGGGAAGAAATTATCATGTAGTATGGTCAATGAAAAGTTTTTCGATCCCTCAATTTTGAAGGAGATTTCAGAAATGTCATTTTCCATTTCAAGTTTACGAGATTCTCTTAAAGCTTCCAGAGATGATGGAGATACCTCAAATGATGACAATGACAAAAATTTGAATTTGAAGCTCAGCTTATCCTCTTCTTTGACCAGTTGGAGCTCCGTGTCTTTTTCCTCCTCTACTTCTTCTGCATTCTGGATCTCCTTTTGCATTGCCTTCTCATTTGTCGATGTGATTGCAAAAGTTTGCTGTTTAGGATCACATTCTATTTGAGAGGGAAGTTTCCCTGAATCTCTTGCTTCAAGTCTATTCACAGCTTCAACTATTTGACTCATTTGAGTTTCCAAGTTTAAAATGCTAGACTTGGTCTCATTTTGGAATTCCACAATGTTTTGTTGCATGGTGGTCATGTTGGTAGCAAGAGTCAGAATAATGTCTTCCGTGGACATGTTAGAGGTCGAGAACGGATCATACCTCATGTGAGGTTCCTTCCCTTGGAAACCAACATCATCATCGATTCGTTCGAAGTATTCTTCTTGGAGCTTCGGGTAAAAATCCGTAAGATGCCTGTGATACATGCAAATGTTGCATGTCTCGACATCTTGAGCTTTTGAGTTTAATATAAATTCCTTTATTAGAGAAGTCAAAGTGGAAATTTGACTCTCTAAGGATGTTATATTGGTATCCATATTCTCATAACTCATGTAAGCTCAGAAAATAGAAGAGTAAGATTTTTTTTTTATAATTTTTATTTTTATTTTTATTTTTTTGTTTTTGATTTTTATGAGATAAAATAAAAAGAAAAATAATTGCCTTTCCCCGGCAACGGCGCCAAATTTGACGTGCACTTTGTCGTGAGTGCACTCAAATTAAATTCAATACTAACACTTATACGTAGTATAGCGTAGTAGAGTTCGTATCCACAGGGAAAGGAATAATTCTCTTTTTATAAAACTAGTAAATAAAAAGGGGGGTTTTGGGATTGAATGATTTAACTTAATTAAACATAAAGATGAACAACTTAATTTAAAGATAAAAAGGACTTGGCATTGCTACTTTCCACTTGTTGATATATTTTAGTCGTTCATTGTTATATCTATAACTAATCCCCTCTCGAATACTCAATCGAGGAGTATATCCAATTCATCGAGGGTAGTTATTAACAACGACCGTTCATTAATAACCCTTACTATTAGTCATGTATAGAACACCGCCATATACCGACTTAATAGTAGCATTTAATCTCTTAACCCCTTGATGAAATCAATTGAGATTGATAACCTCAACACAACGGTTTCGGTTTAACCAACAAAATTAATCCCTCTTAAGTTTATTAACCACGACCGTGCATTAATAAACCGAAGTTACTTACTTGTGAAACCATCAACGATTAACCATCGGTTCGTTGATCGTTTCTAGTAGTAATTAATGTCGAGATGTTAACTAATTGTCATCTTAGCAACACTCCCCAACATTAATATAGAGATAGATTAAGAGAATAATTAATATTCAAGGGAAGAAGTTAAGAAAATAACTCACAACTTTAATAATCAACAAGCTTCAAGAGCAACACCAAGAAATGGAAGTTTAGCTCCTCATTTGGAGACTAAACATGCTATAAAATATAAAAGAAATACTATTCTAAACTGAGCTTAAGAGTGTGGAAGAAGGGATGATTAAAAGTGAAGGAAAATGGGGCTATTTATAGGTGTTTTTCAACACCTTTGGCCGGGTACCCGACCGGGTAAAGTGCCCACCCGACCGGGTGCATGTCAAAATCAAATATATTCCACGTTCTGGCGATCTTCGGCACGTTCTGGTGTTCCGGGTCAAGTCGGACCCGACCGGGTGAAATACCTCACCCGACCGGGTGATGTAATTTCCTGAGCAGTTTCGCATTTAAATTTCTCACCCGACCGGGTGCAATACCTCACCCGACCGGGTGATTGTCCTGGGCAGCCAAGAATTATTTTTCTTCACATTCAAAGTCTTCCTTTCCAACACCATAAATCCTAACTCTACTTTACAACTTACAAATGAGAATTAAAATACAATTACAACTAAAATCACACAAATGTTTATAAACTAAATAAAACGATAAACAATACACACAAATCAAACATAAAAACACACACTTATGCACTACTAATTAGTGCATATCAATCATCGAATTTAATCTCAACCGAGCCTAACCTGGATATGATTGAATTAAACTCGTTGATGTGATCTGTCACGGATGCACCTTCCTTCATTCTTGTATTCACCAACTGTCTGATTAAGAAAACCTTGTTGGCCGCTGAGGGTTTCTCGTACATGTTGGATAACGCCTTGAGCAGTCCAAACGTTGTCTTCTCGTTGACGATATTGTAAGCAACGTTTTTCGCCAACGACAACCTCACCACACCAAGAGCCTGTCGGTCCAACAAGTTCCACTCCGCCTCCGCCATCGTCTCTGGCTTGTTCTCAGACAAGGGTAGATGAAGCTTTTTCTGGTAGAGATAATCCTCGATTTGCATCTTCCAGAAAGCGAAATCTTGACCATCAAATTTATCGATCTTAACCTTCCCTTCGTCAGCCATAGCTCTGATACCAGTTGTTAATTATTACGATTAGGCTAAGATAAACGATAAATTTAAAGCAAGAACACAAGAATTTACGTGGTTCACGCAATCGGTGTGATTACGCTAGTCCACGGCGAACGAGAGAGAGATGTATTATTATTCCAGCGTCTGGTATGTTTACAGATACATTAGGGATGTTTAAATAGGTTTAAGAAAGCCTAAATAAGGGTTAAGGCCGCAGGCCCAAAAATTAATCCCGTCATTAATTTTTGGGAAAGTTCCCGAAATAGGACTAAAAAAGTTTGAAAATTCCAAAATAGGACTGTCATGTTTTTATTCCCAAAATAAGACTAATTACTGCCAAATTTGGAAAATACTGTCATGTTTAAAGTCTGGTACTGTCAAAACATGACAGTAATTAGTCCTATTTCGGGAATAAAAACATGGAAGTCCTATTTTGGAATTTTCAAACTGTTTTAGTCCTATTTTGGGTAATATCTCTTAATTTTTCCCGTATACTCGATCGAGTATACATACATACTCGACCGAGTATAGATTCCAGAATTCTGCCCGAGTAGTGTTTTTACACATACTCGACCGAGTATACCTCCATACTCGATCGAGTATAAACTCCAGAATATAACCCGAGTACCCCTTACACGCATACTCGACCGAGTAATGATCAATACTCGATCGAGTGTAGAAACCAGGGAAATACTCGAGCCATCAAACACCTCATACCCGATCGGGTAACCCAACATACCCGGTCGGGTATATACTCCTGCATTCCAAACAAGGCTCCATCTTCAACAATCTCCCACTTGGAGGCTTGTTCAACAGTCATCTGCCATCCAAGAACATGTATCCTCTGCAACACCCCTGATCTCTATCTCTCGTTCACACCTTCCCATCAAGTATCTGGAAGGCCAGTTGAAGCCATGCATAGCTTCAACTTCTCCGTTGTCACCACCTTGGTAAGCATGTCTGCTGGATTCTTCGTACCAAGGATCTTCTTCAAGTTTATGATACCGTCTTCAATCAACTCTCGGATAAAATGGTATCGCATCTTGATGTGTTTCGTTCTGCTGTGAAACACTGGATTCTTCGCGAGGTGAATGGCACTCTGGTTGTCACAGTGCAGTCCGCAATCCCCCTGTTCCATGCCCAACTCCGAAAGAAAGTTCTTCAACCAGATCAACTCTTTGGCCGCTTCAGCAATGGCCATATACTCTGCTTCTGTGGTCGAAAGAGCCACACTCTTTTGAAGTCTAGACATCCAACTGATCGCCGTACCTCCAATTGTGAATATGTAACCCGTAGTGCTCTTCCCGGAATCACAACAGCCCCCCAAATCAGCATCAGCAAATCCTTCTAGAATTACTCCATTCCTCCTGAAACAAAGAGCAGTTCCAGAAGTGCCTTTCAAGTAGCGTAGCAGCCACTTGACTCCTTCCCAATGTTCCTTCCCTGGATTCGACATGAACCTGCTAACAACTCCCACTGCATGAGCAATGTCCGGCCTTGTTGACACCATTGCGTACATCAAGCTGCCAACGGCTGATGCATAAGGGACTTTAGCCATCTCATCTTTGTCTTCATTGGTCTTTGGAGACTGCTGCTTGGAGAGTTTCAGCTGACTCCCTAAAGGTGTACTCCTTGGCTTGGCATCCGTCATTCTGAACTTCTCAAGGACTTTCTGAATGTACTTCTGCTGTGAAAGCTTTAAAGTACCTTCCACCTTGTCTCTGACTATGCTCATCCCAAGAATCTGTCTCGCCTCCCCTAAATCCTTCATCTCAAATTCTTCGGACAACTTCTTCTTGAGCTCGTTGATCTCCTGCATGTTTGATCCAGCCACCAACATGTCATCAACATACAAAAGAAGAATAATGTATGATGACTTGAATTTCTTCAAGTAACAGCAATGGTCCATCTTGCATCTAGTGTACCCATTCCGCTGCATGAAACTGTCAAACTTCAAGTACCACTGTCTGGGAGCTTGCTTCAGTCCGTATAGACTTTTCTTGAGTTTGCACACCAACTTTTCCTTACCACTCACTGAGAAACCTATCGGTTGAGCCATGTAAATGTCTTCTTCAAGGTTGCCATGAAGAAAAGCAGTCTTCACATCCAGCTGCTCCAAGTGTAAATTTTCATCTGCAACGATACCAAGAATCAACCTGATAGTGGTCATCTTCACAACCGGGGAGAAGATTTCATTGTAGTCAACCCCCTTTTTCTGTTGGAACCCCTTGACAACTAGCCTGGCCTTGTATCTTTTGCTTCCATCTGCTTCATCTTTAATTCTGAAAACCCACTTATTTTCCAATGCTTTCTTTCCCGGTGGTAACTTGACTAAGGACCAAGTTTGGTTCTTGTCAAGTGAATCTAACTCATCTTTCATGGCCTTCTTCCAATGTATGGAATCTCTTACAGCCAACGCCTCTGAGTAAGATTCTGGCTCTCCATTCTCGGTCAGCAATAGATAATTTGCTGAAGGAGAATACCTGTTTGGAGGTCTCCTGATTCTGGTGGACTGTCTGATGTGTGGAGTAGCTGCCTCTGAACTCCCACTGTCTTCATCACTCCCACTATCTTCAGACATTCCTGTATCTCCTGAGCTCCCACTGCTCCCTGAGCCTCCAGCCGTCTCATCACAACCGACTGGTTGTGCTATGTCATCTTCAGTCATCCCTTCAAACACCACTTGCTGTTTGTTTTCCGGTTGCTTGCCTTTGCTTGTTCCTGCTGCAAGACCATCTTTATAAAGAGCATTCTCGTTGAAGGTGACATCTCTACTTCTGATAACCTTCTTGCTTTGGTTGTCCCAGAACCTGTAGCCCATGTCATCCGACCCGTACCCAATAAAGATACACTTCTTTGCCTTTGCCTCAAGCTTGTCACTATCTGCATCTCTGACTTTGACATAAGAAATACAACCAAAAACTTTCAAGTGATTAAGAGATACCTCACGACCTTTCCATTCCTCTTCTGGAATTTTGAAACCAATGGGAGATGAGGGTCCTCTGTTGATTAAGTACGCTGCTGTGTTCACTGCATCGGCCCAGAACATCTTGGGAAGTCCTGCATGCAATCTCATGCTTCTGGCCCTTTCATTCAATGTTCTGTTCATCCTCTCTGCAACACCATTTTGCTGTGGTGTTTCTGGAACCGTCTTCAGCATTCTAATCCCCTGTTCAGCACAATACTCTACAAACTCTGTGCTACTATACTCACCCCCATTATCACTCTTTAAACACTTAATTTTGAGATTTGTTTCATTCTCAACTGCAGCTTTGAACTTCTTAAAAGTGTTAAAGACATCGGATTTATTTTTAAGAAAATAAACCCATACCTTCCGTGTAGAGTCATCAATGAATGTAACATAGTAGCGGGAACCTCCAATTGAAGAGACCTTTGTAGGTCCATAGACATCTGAATGAATCAACTCCAGCCGCTCAGTCTTGGGTTGCTGTCCTGTCTTCACAAAGGTTACCCTCTTTTGTTTGCCTAGAACACATGGCTCACAAAAGGTCAACTTTGAATTCTTCAAATCTGGGATTTTGCCCTTTGAAGACAACATCTTCATTCCGTTCTCACTTATGTGCCCAAGTCTTTGGTGCCACAAGGTAGAGACCCCTGTATCTTCAACTGCTGCGTTTGCCCCATCTGTGGACACTTCAACCATGTACAGTGTACCATGCTTTTGCCCACGAGCAATGACCAGCTTTCCCTTTGTTACCTTCCATTGCTTGTTGCCAAAACTAACGTTATGGCCTTCCTCATCAAGCTGTCCTACTGAGATCAACATCTTCTTCAGGTCTGGAATATACCTGGCATCTTTCAGCCTCCAGGTTGTACCCAAAGTGGTACTGAGATCAACATCCCCAATACCCGTGATCTCCAGGGATTTATCATCCGCCAAACGAACTCTTCCACCGTAGGGCCTGAAATTTTTCATCAAATCCCTGCAATGACAAGCATGAAACGACGCACCTGAATCCATGATCCAGGACTCAACTGAATTCTCAACGCTGCAAATTAGAACATCTTCATAATCCTCTGCCACATTCACCTCCTTCTTGCCTTTGTCTGCTGGGGCTTTTGGGCACTGATTTCTGAAGTGTCCATTCTCCTTGCAATTCCAACAATTGATGTCCTTCCTGTTCTTGGATTGACCCCTCTTCCTCGACTTTGATCTTCCCTTCTTGTTACCCCCCTTTAGTGGATTTTCTGCCCCTGTCTTCAGTACTCAACAAACTATTGGAGCTATCCCCCGAACTTCTCCTCCGGATATCCTCACCAAGGATTAAGTCACGAATACCTTCAAAGGAAAGCTTAGTGGTTCCAGCCGAACTACTAACTGCTGTGACTGTACCGGACCAACTATCGGGCAAAGATGATAACAAAAGTAGTGCTTGAACTTCATCATCGAATTTAATCTCAACCGAGCCTAACCTGGATATGATTGAATTAAACTCGTTGATGTGATCTGTCACGGATGCACCTTCCTTCATTCTTGTATTCACCAACTGTCTGATTAAGAAAACCTTGTTGGCCGCTGAGGGTTTCTCGTACATGTTGGATAACGCCTTGAGCAGTCCAAACGTTGTCTTCTCGTTGACGATATTGTAAGCAACGTTTTTCGCCAACGACAACCTCACCACACCAAGAGCCTGTCGGTCCAACAAGTTCCACTCCGCCTCCGCCATCGTCTCTGGCTTGTTCTCAGACAAGGGTAGATGAAGCTTTTTCTGGTAGAGATAATCCTCGATTTGCATCTTCCAGAAAGCGAAATCTTGACCATCAAATTTATCGATCTTAACCTTCCCTTCGTCAGCCATAGCTCTGATACCAGTTGTTAATTATTACGATTAGGCTAAGATAAACGATAAATTTAAAGCAAGAACACAAGAATTTACGTGGTTCACGCAATCGGTGTGATTACGCTAGTCCACGGCGAACGAGAGAGAGATGTATTATTATTCCAGCGTCTGGTATGTTTACAGATACATTAGGGATGTTTAAATAGGTTTAAGAAAGCCTAAATAAGGGTTAAGGCCGCAGGCCCAAAAATTAATCCCGTCATTAATTTTTGGGAAAGTTCCCGAAATAGGACTAAAAAAGTTTGAAAATTCCAAAATAGGACTGTCATGTTTTTATTCCCAAAATAAGACTAATTACTGCCAAATTTGGAAAATACTGTCATGTTTAAAGTCTGGTACTGTCAAAACATGACAGTAATTAGTCCTATTTCGGGAATAAAAACATGGAAGTCCTATTTTGGAATTTTCAAACTGTTTTAGTCCTATTTTGGGTAATATCTCTTAATTTTTCCCGTATACTCGATCGAGTATACATACATACTCGACCGAGTATAGATTCCAGAATTCTGCCCGAGTAGTGTTTTTACACATACTCGACCGAGTATACCTCCATACTCGATCGAGTATAAACTCCAGAATATAACCCGAGTACCCCTTACACGCATACTCGACCGAGTAATGATCAATACTCGATCGAGTGTAGAAACCAGGGAAATACTCGAGCCATCAAACACCTCATACCCGATCGGGTAACCCAACATACCCGGTCGGGTATATACTCCTGCATTCCAAACAAGGCTCCATCTTCAACAATCTCCCACTTGGAGGCTTGTTCAACAGTCATCTGCCATCCAAGAACATGTATCCTCTGCAACACCCCTGATCTCTATCTCTCGTTCACACCTTCCCATCAAGTATCTGGAAGGCCAGTTGAAGCCATGCATAGCTTCAACTTCTCCGTTGTCACCACCTTGGTAAGCATGTCTGCTGGATTCTTCGTACCAAGGATCTTCTTCAAGTTTATGATACCGTCTTCAATCAACTCTCGGATAAAATGGTATCGCATCTTGATGTGTTTCGTTCTGCTGTGAAACACTGGATTCTTCGCGAGGTGAATGGCACTCTGGTTGTCACAGTGCAGTCCGCAATCCCCCTGTTCCATGCCCAACTCCGAAAGAAAGTTCTTCAACCAGATCAACTCTTTGGCCGCTTCAGCAATGGCCATATACTCTGCTTCTGTGGTCGAAAGAGCCACACTCTTTTGAAGTCTAGACATCCAACTGATCGTCGTACCTCCAATTGTGAATATGTAACCCGTAGTGCTCTTCCCGGAATCACAACAGCCCCCCAAATCAGCATCAGCAAATCCTTCTAGAATTACTCCATTCCTCCTGAAACAAAGAGCAGTTCCAGAAGTGCCTTTCAAGTAGCGTAGCAGCCACTTGACTCCTTCCCAATGTTCCTTCCCTGGATTCGACATGAACCTGCTAACAACTCCCACTGCATGAGCAATGTCCGGCCTTGTTGACACCATTGCGTACATCAAGCTGCCAACGGCTGATGCATAAGGGACTTTAGCCATCTCATCTTTGTCTTCATTGGTCTTTGGAGACTGCTGCTTGGAGAGTTTCAGCTGACTCCCTAAAGGTGTACTCCTTGGCTTGGCATCCGTCATTCTGAACTTCTCAAGGACTTTCTGAATGTACTTCTGCTGTGAAAGCTTTAAAGTACCTTCCACCTTGTCTCTGACTATGCTCATCCCAAGAATCTGTCTCGCCTCCCCTAAATCCTTCATCTCAAATTCTTCGGACAACTTCTTCTTGAGCTCGTTGATCTCCTGCATGTTTGATCCAGCCACCAACATGTCATCAACATACAAAAGAAGAATAATGTATGATGACTTGAATTTCTTCAAGTAACACCAATGGTCCATCTTGCATCTAGTGTACCCATTCCGCTGCATGAAACTGTCAAACTTCAAGTACCACTGTCTGGGAGCTTGCTTCAGTCCGTATAGACTTTTCTTGAGTTTGCACACCAACTTTTCCTTACCACTCACTGAGAAACCTATCGGTTGAGCCATGTAAATGTCTTCTTCAAGGTTGCCATGAAGAAAAGCAGTCTTCACATCCAGCTGCTCCAAGTGTAAATTTTCATCTGCAACGATACCAAGAATCAACCTGATAGTGGTCATCTTCACAACCGGGGAGATGATTTCATTGTAGTCAACCCCCTTTTTCTGTTGGAACCCCTTGACAACTAGCCTGACCTTGTATCTTTTGCTTCCATCTGCTTCATCTTTAATTCTGAAAACCCACTTATTTTCCAATGCTTTCTTTCCCGGTGGTAACTTGACTAAGGACCAAGTTTGGTTCTTGTCAAGTGAATCTAACTCATCTTTCATGGCCTTCTTCCACTGTATGAAATCTCTTACAGCCAACGCCTCTGAGTAAGATTCTGGCTCTCCATTCTCGGTCAGCAATAGATAATTTGCTGAAGGAGAATACCTGTTAGGAGGTCTCCTGATTCTGGTGGACTGTCTGATGTGTGGAGTAGCTGCCTCTGAACTCCCACTGTCTTCATCACTCCCACTATCTTCAGACATTCCTGTATCTCCTGAGCTCCCACTGCTCCCTGAGCCTCCAGCCGTCTCATCACAACCGACTGGTTGTGCTATGTCATCTTCAGTCATCCCTTCAAACACCACTTGCTGTTTGTTTTCCGGTTGCTTGCCTTTGCTTGTTCCTGCTGCAAGACCATCTTTATAAAGAGCATTCTCGTTGAAGGTGACATCTCTACTTCTGATAACCTTCTTGCTTTGGTTTTCCCAGAACCTGTAGCCCATGTCATCCGACCCGTACCCAATAAAGATACACTTCTTTGCCTTTGCCTCAAGCTTGTCACTATCTGCATCTCTGACTTTGACATAAGAAATACAACCAAAAACTTTCAAGTGATTAAGAGATACCTCACGACCTTTCCATTCCTCTTCTGGAATTTTGAAACCAATGGGAGATGAGGGTCCTCTGTTGATTAAGTACGCTGCTGTGTTCACTGCATCGGCCCAGAACATCTTGGGAAGTCCTGCATGCAATCTCATGCTTCTGGCCCTTTCATTCAATGTTCTGTTCATCCTCTCTGCAACACCATTTTGCTGTGGTGTTTCTGGAACCGTCTTCAGCATTCTAATCCCCTGTTCAGCACAATACTCTACAAACTCTGTGCTACTATACTCACCCCCATTATCACTCTTTAAACACTTAATTTTGAGATTTGTTTCATTCTCAACTGCAGCTTTGAACTTCTTAAAAGTGTTAAAGACATCGGATTTATTTTTAAGAAAATAAACCCATACCTTCCGTGTAGAGTCATCAATGAATGTAACATAGTAGCGGGAACCTCCAATTGAAGAGACCTTTGTAGGTCCATAGACATCTGAATGAATCAACTCCAGCCGCTCAGTCTTGGGTTGCTGTCCTGTCTTCACAAAGGTTACCCTCTTTTGTTTGCCTAGAACACATGGCTCACAAAAGGTCAACTTTGAATTCTTCAAATCTGGGATTTTGCCCTTTGAAGACAACATCTTCATTCCGTTCTCACTTATGTGCCCAAGTCTTTGGTGCCACAAGGTAGAGACCCCTGTATCTTCAACTGCTGCGTTTGCCCCATCTGTGGACACTTCAACCATGTACAGTGTACCATGCTTTTGCCCACGAGCAATGACCAGCTTTCCCTTTGTTACCTTCCATTGCTTGTTGCCAAAACTAACGTTATGGCCTTCCTCATCAAGCTGTCCTACTGAGATCAACATCTTCTTCAGGTCTGGAATATACCTGGCATCTTTCAGCCTCCAGGTTGTACCCAAAGTGGTACTGAGATCAACATCCCCAATACCCGTGATCTCCAGGGATTTATCATCCGCCAAACGAACTCTTCCACCGTAGGGCCTGAAATTTTTCATCAAATCCCTGCAATGACAAGCATGAAACGACGCACCTGAATCCATGATCCAGGACTCAACTGAATTCTCAACGCTGCAAATTAGAACATCTTCATAATCCTCTGCCACATTCACCTCCTTCTTGCCTTTGTCTGCTGGGGCTTTTGGGCACTGATTTCTGAAGTGTCCATTCTCCTTGCAATTCCAACAATTGATGTCCTTCCTGTTCTTGGATTGACCCCTCTTCCTCGACTTTGATCTTCCCTTCTTGTTACCCCCTTTAGTGGATTTTCTGCCCCTGTCTTCAGTACTCAACAAACTATTGGAGCTATCCCCCGAACTTCTCCTCCGGATATCCTCACCAAGGATTAAGTCACGAATACCTTCAAAGGAAAGCTTAGTGGTTCCAGCCGAACTACTAACTGCTGTGACTGTACCGGACCAACTATCGGGCAAAGATGATAACAAAAGTAGTGCTTGAACTTCATCATCGAATTTAATCTCAACCGAGCCTAACCTGGATATGATTGAATTAAACTCGTTGATGTGATCTGTCACGGATGCACCTTCCTTCATTCTTGTATTCACCAACTGTCTGATTAAGAAAACCTTGTTGGCCGCTGAGGGTTTCTCGTACATGTTGGATAACGCCTTGAGCAGTCCAAACGTTGTCTTCTCGTTGACGATATTGTAAGCAACGTTTTTCGCCAACGACAACCTCACCACACCAAGAGCCTGTCGGTCCAACAAGTTCCACTCCGCCTCCGCCATCGTCTCTGGCTTGTTCTCAGACAAGGGTAGATGAAGCTTTTTCTGGTAGAGATAATCCTCGATTTGCATCTTCCAGAAAGCGAAATCTTGACCATCAAATTTATCGATCTTAACCTTCCCTTCGTCAGCCATAGCTCTGATACCAGTTGTTAATTATTACGATTAGGCTAAGATAAACGATAAATTTAAAGCAAGAACACAAGAATTTACGTGGTTCACGCAATCGGTGTGATTACGCTAGTCCACGGCGAACGAGAGAGAGATGTATTATTATTCCAGCGTCTGGTATGTTTACAGATACATTAGGGATGTTTAAATAGGTTTAAGAAAGCCTAAATAAGGGTTAAGGCCGCAGGCCCAAAAATTAATCCCGTCATTAATTTTTGGGAAAGTTCCCGAAATAGGACTAAAAAAGTTTGAAAATTCCAAAATAGGACTGTCATGTTTTTATTCCCAAAATAAGACTAATTACTGCCAAATTTGGAAAATACTGTCATGTTTAAAGTCTGGTACTGTCAAAACATGACAGTAATTAGTCCTATTTCGGGAATAAAAACATGGAAGTCCTATTTTGGAATTTTCAAACTGTTTTAGTCCTATTTTGGGTAATATCTCTTAATTTTTCCCGTATACTCGATCGAGTATACATACATACTCGACCGAGTATAGATTCCAGAATTCTGCCCGAGTAGTGTTTTTACACATACTCGACCGAGTATACCTCCATACTCGATCGAGTATAAACTCCAGAATATAACCCGAGTACCCCTTACACGCATACTCGACCGAGTAATGATCAATACTCGATCGAGTGTAGAAACCAGGGAAATACTCGAGCCATCAAACACCTCATACCCGATCGGGTAACCCAACATACCCGGTCGGGTATATACTCCTGCATTCCAAACAAGGCTCCATCTTCAACAATTACTCTGTTCTTTTTCCATTGGGGTGTGCTGAGGAGCTCTTATCTTATGTTTTGGGCCTCAACAGATTCACACTCACATGTGCTTACTCAAACTTCAATGATATCATCCACTCCATTATTGACATGGATTCTCATGTGATCACATTTTGTTTTTACTCTCTTTTTTCGGTATTGATTTAAAATATGTTTACTTCTAGAAAGAAGTTATATCCTGTAATTTTTACGGTTTGTAGCCTAAATGTATTTCACAAAAATCCCCATTTTGTCAACTTCATATGGGATACCTCAGTTTGTGCTTGGCTGGTATTTCTGGGCTTCTAAATGTTGTAACTCATCCTCTATTCCACAGCTTTTTTACCCAAGAATAAAATATTGTTCCTAGAAAGTAAGCCTTAAATATTAGAGTAGATATGGACCGTTGAGTTTTTTCATCAGATTAACTGTTTTCCTAGAGTAATATTTTTTGTAATATTACAAAAATAATACTCATGGACAAATATATGACTACCACATTGTCTATGTGTAGTATAACTATGGGGGACCATCAACTTATAATTTTGTCCATTTTTATTAGTTACTATTTGTCGTTATTTCTCTGTAATACTCTTCTATCTTATTTTATGTGTCTTAGTTTTGCAATGAGGTTCATAACATTTGATGTACGGAGAGGAAACAAATCATACATTATCAAAATCTACATTAAAAATTCAACAAAATGTGGTGTCTTGACTATTAAGTAATAATAATATGATGTTAGAAAATAGAAAACTCGTCAAGGTAAATTCAGACAGGGAGTACTAACATGATCCTATTATGCAGAATTTTGTTTCATTCAAGTAAACGGTACCCTACATGACCTTAGCAAATCAATCGACCATCTTATCAATATGGTCATTGATATGTTAAAAGTATTAGCACATTTGTTTTGCAAAAATTTCAATTTTTAAAAGCAGGAACAATTTATTCCAGTTATTTTTTAAATTATCTTGAGAATTTGAGAGTCGATAACCATACTGAATGATCCCTTAGTGCCGTTTTATATGGCTATAGATCATGTAACTGAAGACGCCGATGACAGAAACCACCGCCACTACCGCCGCAGCATTGATTGCAAACTTTGTGACATATCCATGAGAAGAAGCTTTTGGGGTGACCTTTTCTTCAGCTCTACTGCTGGGGTTTGACTCACTGTTTTGTTTGCTGCTATCCTGAGAAGGACCTCTGGTTTGATTCTTCGGCAATATAACGCGAAGAATACCTTTCCTGTATCTTGCCTCAAACTCATTAGTATTATAATAGTCTCCAGGAACTAAGACTTCCTTGTTGATCTTCCCCTCCGGCCCCTCACCAGAAATCCTCACAGTTCCACCATCTCCATATTCTGCTATGAGATGATCATTCTTGAATCCTTCAAGAGATCAAAACAAAGAATGTATACCATTTCCAAAGCAGTTAAAACATAAATTGGGCAAGTGAAACACAATAAAGAGTTACATGGATCTAATTAATGAGCACTACTGATATTCACACATCACAAGGACTAAAACATATATAAAACTAATCTACATATTTTGAAATGAACTCAAATCTAATAAAATTTGATATACTAAATTAGAGAATACTTTTTTACACAATAATTGTATGTACCTGGAGACAGAATGACCTCTAGGACATCACGGTCTTGTTCATGTTTCCATTTGCAGATTGGGTTATATTGTGCTATCTCAGGACTGGCCATCTGTTGCAATTTGTGGGGTTGGAGAGTTTTATATAATGTTCTGGGCACATACTAATAATAATTTCATAAAGCTGAATATATATTGAGATGAATAGTGTTTTGGGGTTTAGGTTTCGTCTTAGTTTTCCCAAAGAATATTTCAGAGTCACATTCTGAATGCTTGCTTGCTTCCTGCCTTTGGTTTTGCATGTGGTACGTGTACCTTACATATTCCTTCTATAATTCAAGTCTCATTCTTTCTTACACCTCCTGCGCCTATTTAGCACGTCAAATTAGAATGAGTTGGTACGAAAAACCAATTAAACTTTTACACATAAAAATATAGAAAAAATATGTTTGTACCCATTTTTGTACCCACTTTTGCACCCCCTATTTTGCTTGTGTACATAGATAATTCGTTAAGAAGATGGCAGCAATTGTCTCCCAATTGCCTGTGTACACAGGCAATGTACAAAAGTGGGTACAAAAGTGTGTACACCAAGAAAGGTTTGAAAAATATAAGCCTTTTAAAGTTTGGGGTGGGTGGGGCCTGGTCGGCCCCCTTAGCTACGCCCTTGACATGATTCATGGCAAATACTACTACCTCTGTCCCGCTTAAAAGGTTCTTATTTTAAAATGACACAGTTATTTAGACAATAATTAATAAGATTATCCAAGTATATTTTGATCGAGAAACAATTGTGATGGATATATAATATAATGAGGTCATTGATGATAATCGTGATGTTATAGATGTTTTATTTAATATTTTTCGATTAAAATGTCATTTTAGAGTGTTAGTTGTTTACTAAAATAGAAATAAGAACTTTTATATGGGACGTTCAGAAAAGGAAATTGGAAACCTTTGAATGAGACGTCAAAAGAAGTACAAATCTTTCAATGTGACGGAGTACAACATAATACGTAGTACATGATCAAGATTCTCTCAATTTTTAGACGAGTAAGGATGTTTTCTTTTGGACTGAAATTTGCTGATCTGGTCTGGTCTGGTCTGGTCTGTTTAAGTCTGATCTGGTCTGGTCTGGTCTGTTTAAGTCTGGTCTGGTCTGAACTGGTCTGGTCTGGTAAATGTCTGGTCTCTGTGTATTTTATAACTACAGAAGTCTGGTCTGGTCTGATCTGGTCTGTTTAAGTCTGGTCTGGTCTGGGACTGAAAACAGTCCAAAAGAAAACATCCTAAATCCAACCATTTATCACACTAACATTCTTGATCCCATAATTAGCACTCTGATGTTCTCCATAAATTTATTGCTATATTTATCTCCAATTTTAGCTTGATACAATGTTTGTTCAAGTGAAAAGTAAAGAGTTTACATTCGTTAGGAGGAGAATAAACAATACCAACCATAAACATTTTACTTATATAGAAATAAGGAATAAAAATAAAATAAGGATGCTTATCTCATTAGGAAATACTCCATCCGTCCAAATTTAGAAGATCTCATTTGACTTTATACAATTTAAGAAAATGGCACTATTTGAATACTATTTGACACTGTTTGACATTGTTATACACTTTTTACACTGTCATGCACTATTTAGTTTACCAAATAAGGAAAGAGGACATTTTAAGGGACGGATCGAAAAGGAAAGTGGTATATTTATTTGGGAACGGAAGGAGTAGAATACATTACATTTAGGGATGGGAGGCTAGAACCGAACCGAAACCCGGAAACCATTTTGGCCCGACTCAAATGATGTTCCTGGTCCAGGTTTTTTCTTTTTTAACCGACCCGAATAATAAAAACCCGGACCGAAACAGAATATTCGGGCTCATAAACAGGCTCTAAAATCTATAACCTGCCCCGTACCGGAAAAAGCCTAAACAATTAACTTTAATATAAAATCAACACTACATGACATTTTTTTTTTTTGAAAAAAACACTACATGACATACAGAGTATTATATATGAATCTAATTTATAAATAATTGATAACTCCTAATATATGATTATAATCATGATGGATGAAAAAATGGTTTAGTAACTTTTAATGACTACAAATATGTTCAATATTATATACTGTGATGATCATGGAAGTATATTTGTAGTAACTTTAGTCTTCACATTTTTATCCATAAATTTTACTCCGTATTTAATAGTATTTTTAGAAAAACTATATTTTTGTATGCATCTTAAATATAAATATTAAGATAATTATCTTCTTTGGATTTGAATTGTAGGTGATTTTGGAGAATAATATTTGTGTTATTATTTGCGATTTGTATTTTTTATTAATTTTATTTGAAAATAGGTTTTAAAATATAAAAGAAAAATGAGATGATTTCATCGGGCTTTAATCGGCTCAGTCCGAACCGGGACCAAACCCGGGCTACCAAAAACTGACCCGGACCGAATATAATGAGTTTAGTTCCAGTCTCTAATTTTCATAACCTCAAACCTTACGACTAATTTCAAGGTTCAGCAAAAACTCAATCCAAATCGGACCGATTCCACCCCTTTCCGTGTTGTTTATCATCCCTCGACGGGCAACCCATATTCTTCAAGATGAGCCTTTTCTTTAGCAAAATTATACTGAGTTCTACGTAACGACTAACCCAATTTTTGTGTCAACACATAACTTACTAAGTTTCATTTTTGTGAAAATTAAACTTTAACGTGTCATTATTAATTCCACTTTTAAATCTATGAGTTTTACATCAATTTTACAATTACTTCTTTTCTTTCATTTTGTCCATTTTGTGTACTTAATTATTAGTCTTGCATATTTATGGTCCTTCCACCCAATTGTCCGATGCCTTTCTAGTGATTTTAACCACCGAAAAATTTTGACAGAAGCATCAAATTAAAAAATGTGGATGGATTGTGAAATTAATTAGGTACCTCTAGGACTAAAAGTGACATTTGTTCATTAATATAGTGTCATTTATGGTTACTTGCCGTACAAATTGAAGATGAGCTATTATGGTTATTTAAAGTTGCTACAAGAGATCACATTTTTAGAAATAAAACTTATTTTAATCATAAAATTGTGATTAATACAAAAGAATATAGTAAAAGAAATATTTCAAACACACGGTCCTCCAAACAATTACGGAGCAAAAAATTACCACATTGGCTGCTAGCATCCTTTGAGTGTGTAATGTGTATGTATGGGTCTATCTATACAGTTAGAGGCTTAGACCACATTTTTTGTAATTTTAGTGGAAAACATTTACAGTGAGTATCAATGCAATTTTATGAAGTATTAGACCTATTTTTATTGAGTTTTAGGAGTCTAATATCAAACATATTTTCTAATTTACTTTTTTTTACTTATTTATTCTTTTAATAAATTCTTAAATGATATCTAAAGTCAATTCCTATGAATTTTGACACGCGAATCTAATTTAATATTATACTTTTAAAATATGTATAGATATAAAAATTGTAAGCTCTACTAGTTGAGTATTAAGACATTTTCAGTGAACATCAAGCCTTCTTTTTTCCAGATTAGACTAAGAAGTCTGGAATTAAGTATCGTGATCTCTGTTTCCATGTCTTCTAATTCACTTTTTTTATATTAAATTTTCTTTTTTCTTTAGGTAAAAATTTCTTAAATTATATTTTTAATCAATTCAAATGAATTCTAATATGAGACTTTAATGTAATATATACTTTTATAATAAACACTCATATGACATCTTAAAATGAGCATAACACAAGTACAAATGATCACACATAACTAATAAAATGAGTATCAAAAAATTTAAAAGCTCGTTTGAAATCTTTAATGTGCTCAAATGTACATTTATGTATGCTCATTTCTCTGAAGATTCATTATTAATAGTTTACTAAACTATCACTATAATATAATAAAAATTCATTTCATTAAATAGGCGCAATAGTGCTCATCTTAAATTTTTTTTTTCATTATTTCCGTATGTAATTACTGTCAAGTTTTAATATTATCAAATTTAAAACATAATTATATTTTCTAAATTTGATATTACTTTTATTTAAAAAATAAAAAACATGACAATATATTACTCCTATTTTGAGATTTTAAAATGATTTTGCTTTTATTACAAAAAAAATCCTTTTTATAAAATGAATGAAAACAACATCACATGGAAATAATAATTAGCCAAAGTGTCATCGTCGGAAATCCAGCTTTCATAAAACTAGTAGTCATGTTCAAGTTCGTCCGTATTATCTTTGCTTACGACTCCTTAGAAAGAGAAGGAAAGAGAGAGAGATTCTTTTACAATGCAGGTAAGATTTCAGTCTCATAACTGAATTCCCTTTGTTCTTCAATTGTTTTTTCCCAGTTCATGAAAATTCGACATGTCAACTTGAAATTTCCAATCGGTTATATTCGTTCTTTGGGATATTTTTAGCAACAGAGGACAGTACGTGTTGGAAATGTATCAGATCTAGCTACCGAGAGGGAAATCCGAGAGTTCTTCTCCTTCTCCGGCGCCATTGAACACATTGAGATTCGACGGTCGGTGCTGCGGCTCTGTTTTGAGTTTTGAAATTTGAATCACATGTGGCTTATGCAGTTATACTTGGCGTTATTGTTTCAGGGAGCAAGATGAATCTAGGACTGCTTATGTTACCTTTAAAGATACGAAAGCTATTGAAATCGCTCTTTTGTTATCGGTAATTTGATTTACCTCCATGTTGTTATACGGCTTTTTGAGTAGCAACTTTTTCCCCTTTGAATGAAAGTGTTAAAATGTGAGAGTACCGTTTTGGAAATAACTGGTCATTCTATACACATATGTGAATGCGTTATAGATCTGAATGGAAATTACAGCTTAGTTTTCACATTTACGTAAAAGATGTTATCTGGATTGGAGGTCTTGGATGCACCCGGCATATTCTAGTGAATGCTTGGTTTTGTGGATGTTGGCAACAGACAACTGGGCATTGCAAACACATTCTCACACTCTCAGTTCTTCATAACATCAAAGATTGTACACAGAGATTTAAATGTTCTTTATGACCATTTGAAACTGTTCTTACGTGCCTTTTACCAGTTAGAGATGCAGTTCCTATACATTTCCTGTATTATCTACAATTACATTTGCATCAGGGGTGAAATTAGCTTTTACATTCAAAAGCTTGGCCTCAATATCGCACTCACATTTTCTTTCACCACAAAGGTCATGTTTCTTGATGGTGATGATTTTCTTTCATTAATGGAGTGGGCGAAACCTTTGCGGTACTGGGGTAATGATTTTGAAATGGGGTAATGGTGGTGATGATGATGATCATGATGAAAAGAGTGGGTGAAACCTTGATTGTTTGTTGACCTGTGCTTTTTTCATCATTCTTTCATTCTAGAAACCTATCACATCTTATATTTTCAATTCCTTTTTAGTTTAGTATCCAAAACCTCCAAACATAGTTGTTCTTCTATGTTGTACAGAGTATGTAGTTGTTTTTTCCCCACAAGTAATGCACAGTACTCAGCCTGATGCCCAGTGTGTTGGCTTTTCCGCAACTAATGCGCAATAGGATTTTGAATATGCAATATAGGAGTTTTCTGCAAGCTAAACAAATTATATGATTGGTATTTTACTATTTGTTTATACCTGTTCACCTCTCAAGATCAAGGCTATGTTTTATGCAGTTAGTTGACAAATAAAGTTTTAGATGAAATGGTATGTGGAACAGACAACAGAGATTAAATCATTAAATGATGGTAGATAAAGATAAAATGTGAGATGGAATAAGTAGATCTAATTGCCAAACCCTTGGTGAAAGGGTTGATGAAATTTTCAATTTAGAAGGGTATGATACATATAATGAATTTGATTTAATAAAGGATAGGCCTGCTAAACTTTAAATATTGAGTGAAAATTTATTTCTAGTACTAGTATTTTTTTTTTCTTTCAACATCTACCAAGTAAACCAAGATCTTTTGCGATGTTGAAAATGAAATTATTTGTAATTATATTTACCACATAAATGAAATGGCTTAAGGATTAAAATATACTCAAGTTCCAAGTGTTGTGCATTTTGCAGGGAGCAACAATAGTGGACCAGATAGTGACCATAACTCTGGCAGAGAACTATGTCCCAAAATCTGAAGTTCAGGTAACTCAAACTGCTAGATTTTATAATTTCCGTTTCTACTTTAAGTGTATCACCTAAGCTCAAGATGCTATCAATTTACACAGGAGTTTAGGATAGTTGTTGACGACGATATAAGCACCTCGGGGGGGAATAACTCACTGTTTGCTGAGGTACACACATCTATAAACCTATATAAAATTTCGTTTTGTTTAATAGGTTTATTTGGGAAGTATGTATGTGCGTTTATATGTACACACACAGTCACACACACACATAGGTACACTATCTCACAATCAGAAGTGAATGGCTGTGATTTGTTCACTCCTAATTAATTACATTATCTCACCAGTGAAGTGATGAAAGCATTCATCCTGAAAATACAATGTCCAAAACACGAATAAAAGGTTGATCAAATGTTATATGATATTATGATCTCATATTACATTGATCTTAAATTTTTATAATAAGTATGTTAAGGTAGACTTAGCCCTCCAAAGACCCCCTTCCCAAACCTTCAATCCAAGCAGGCCCGAAAATAAAGAGCTTGAATGTTAATCCTGGCATCTTTTCAATTAAGGGATGAAAGTAGTCTGCATATTTAGAATGCGCGGATGTGTGTGTTCTAAGCTGGTAAAGTAGAGATTCGTGGATACAGTTTATAGTTTATACATTTATGCCACATGTTTGAATGGGTTAAATCCATAGGTTATCATTAGCTAATTAGTTTATGATTCTGAATGCTTGGATTAGCTGTTATATTCATTTCTTCTTGCAGGACAAATTTACCTCATCTAGCCAGGCCAGGGTAAATGGCAGGGTATATGTAAGTAAAGCACAAGATGTTGTCTCCAGTGTGCTGGCAAAAGGATCAGCTATAGGACAAGATGCTATGACTAAAGCCAAGGCATTTGATGAGAAGCATCGGTTGACCGCGACTGCTTCTGCTAAAGTCAGTTCATTTGATCAAAGAGTTGGGTTGTCTGAGAAACTGACAGTAGGAATTTCTGTGGTGAATCAGAAAGTCAAATCTGTGGATGAAAAGCTTCAAGTTTCTGATAAAACGATGGCTGCACTTTTTGCAGCTGAACGTAAAATAAATGATACTGGATCAGCAGTAAAATCAAGCAGGTTTGTAGCATTTCATCCAGCTCTCTTAGTTTTTACTCTAACATGCTTTATCTTTATCTTTTGTTGGATACATCGAAAAAGATCTCTATCTCTATGTTTACTTTTGATTAAGTTTTCTTGTAGAATATGGGTTTGGGCGTTTCGTGCTGTACAGCATTTTTTTGGCATAACTTTCCGCTATTGTAGTATTCACTGTATTTGGGCCGGTCGAGTAAGTCTGATGTCACTTCAATGTTCCAATCATAGATTCCTAGAAGTTTTGCTTTTCACCGAGGCATCTGGTAGCCTGGAAAGTGTAAGGTGTCCTTGGGAATTTAAAATGTGGGAAAAACTTACCTATGTTTGGTGATCCCTTTGATTTGGGAAAAGCCGGGTCAAAATCCTTTAAATGGGAAAAACTTTTAGGGTCCATTTGGAATCCCAGAAATTCTTGGCAAAGAACAGAGGAAGAGATATAGAGAGAAAATCTGGAGGAAAATCAAAGTTACTCTCAAAATTTGGAGGAAAATCAAAGTTACTCTTTTGGTAACCTTATTATTGCATTGGTTTTATGGGTAATCTTTTTTATGAACCAAAATTTACTATCATTGACTAGAAAAGTCAAAGATAACTAACTAAAAAGTGACTAAAGTAGTGTAACTTCTTTATTTTATTAATTAATAAAATAAACGATAGTATTTCTTAGATATATTTTAAAATGTCAACCGATTATGTCAATTCAACCGTTTCCATCAATGATTTATTTTTGATATTTTCTCAAGCTCATCTCATTAATTTAGGATGTTTTCTTTTGGACTGTTTTCGGACCCAGACCAGACTTCCATAGTTATAAAAAACACAGAGATATGACGTTTACCAGATCAGATCAGACCGGACCAGACCAGCAAATTTCAGTCCAAAAGAAAACATTCTTATACTTTGTATATTTCTACAATATAGAGACAAAAAAATGTAGTACTTCCCTTAACATTTTTTTTTCATTTATCTTTGGGGACCCAAACATACCCTTAACCGCAGGGTGTCTCGTATTGTATGGGAAGTTACTCTTTAGCAGTACTTTTTGGAATTTAATTAATAAGTACCAAACGTCCTCTTCACAAATTAATTGATAGACGCATGCTAGGGCACACAAATTCTCACATAAGAGGTGGTAGCATGCTATGCTTTTCATTTTGATTAATTCAATCCAACCACTCAGTTTCAGATGCTTCTTTCTAACTTAGTCATGGTCGGTTCCACTTAGATCTGCTCCCTTTTTCCTTTATCTTTCTTACCAGATCACACGTTTTTTACACCAAATCATAGGGTTTAAGAAAATGAAATGGGGTAGTTAATCAATAAAAACATTATGTAATGTCCCAAAAGTGAGCTAATTTAAAATGGAGACATGGAGTAATTACTTTCTACTAGGGGTGGGCAATTCGGTTTACGGTTCGGTTTTCTTCGGTTTCGGTTCGGTTTCGGTTTATTCGGGTTGGGAGAATTTGTACCAAACTAAAACCATTTGTGTTTCGGTTTGGTTTCGGTTTCGGTTCGGTTCGGTTTGAAGTTCAGTTTACCAAAGTAAAGAATATTATGTTTAATTTAGTTTGATTTGATTCGTTTGCTTAAATTTATTATTTTATTTGATCAAGTTCTGTATTTTAGAATTAGAAAATGAAAGGAGTAGTCCATCTCATCTTTTTTTAATTTATTGATTATTTAAATAAAATGTAAAAGGAATAAAAGATAGAAATATAAATAATAAAATATTATAAATTAAAACTTCTAACATCTTTTTTATCATTACAAAAATTCACTTCTTACAAAAAAAAATAAGATAATTGATTAGCATATATAATATCACATAAAATATTCAAAAAAAAACTAAAAGAGTCGGTGGTACAAATGTTGTAATATTCACAATTTTATTCAAATGAATCATGTAAAAATATAAATGCAATTTGCTATTGTTATCGTCAAACATAATAAATACAAATATGTCGTATTAGCTAACGTTGTCATAATGAATGTATGAAATGTGTAAAAGTTAAAATGATATGAGTATATGCTTTCATATGTATTTTCATGTCTAAATTATTTATTTATATCTTGAAAATGAAGAGTGAAAATAAATACAAAGTGTATATATATGTTGTTCAGTGTTCGGTTCGGTTTACGGTTTTTCCGTTTTAAACCAAACCAAACCAAACCAAAGTACCAAATCATTCGGTTTGAGCAAATGTTTACCAAACGGTTTACTTAAGTAAACCCAAACCAAACCAAATAAAACCACCAATTTTAATAATATATGAAAGTTTTTTTGAGTTTCTTTAGTTCGGTTTGGTTTTGTTCGTTTTTTATCGGTTTTGGTTCGGTTCGGTTTAATACGGTTTGAAAGAAATAGTACCAAACTCAAACCAAATTGCATATGGTTCGGTTTCGGTTTAGTTCGGTTTGGTACGGTTCGGTTCGGTTTAGTTCGGTTCGGTTTCGGTTCGGTTTAGTTCGGTTTGGTACGGTTCAGTTCGGTTTAGTTCGGTTTGGTACGGTTCGGTTCGGTTAAACCAAACCCTACTTTCTACCCATTTAATATGATTAGTATAAGATGGGTAAAAGTTAGAGAAATATCAAGATCTTCTATGTGGATAAATTTCATGAAAAGGTAGATAGAATGGAACACTCAAGTTTGGTCAATAAAGATGGATAAAAAGGAAAAAGGGAGTATATTATTAAAAAATCAAGCTTTCTCTGATATTTTACTTTTTTGACTCCAAGACTTGTTTTTTGCGACATCATCATATATTCATCAACAATAAAACTGACCAGGTATGTAACTGCTGGAGCTGCTTGGCTGAATGGTGCTTTTAGTAGGGTGGCAAAGGCGGGTCAGGCGGCTAGTACTAAAACTCGAGAAAAGTGGAATTCGACATTCTCAAATATGACGGCAAAGGTTTTTTCCTCCCTTTTCCATTCGAATCAAATAGTTACATGACTTAACAACGTGAAAATGGTGAAATGGCTCAAATATTGCAAAACAAGTTAAAGGGGGCATTTTTTTTGGGAAACTGCTAGGAATCAACAGATTTTGGAATTTTAAAATAGGAGTGTTATATTTTACTTCCCGAAATAGGAGTCACTATTGTCATGATTGAAAAGTACTGTCATTTATGACTTAAATACTATGATGACTTCAATATTGTCACGTTAATGTTTAGTAGTGCAACTATTTTGACAGTAATGACTCCAAAATGACACTGAAATTTGACATGTTACTCTTATATTTGATACTAATAGTATTTTCGGTTCTAATTCATTCTTACCTTCTTCATATTTATCAATTCAATATTAACGAGATAGTATTCTATTTTTCTGAATTACTATGGTTACAGGATTCGCCTATGGTTGTATAGACTCAAATTACATCAACATTGCTAAGTTGGCAAAGGCGACTTTTTCTCAATGCTGTGTTACCAAGTGCTTGTTTTACTGATGCGGGCGTCACCGACCTCTACACACATATTCAATTCTTTTTGCAGTGTGTATTATTCTTTTCATTTGTTTCCCTTCAAATTTATCGGTTTATCAAATTTTCGCTTTATAGGCCTTTGTATGTTTGCAACTTGCAAGTATAATTGGGTTCTTGTATCATAGACTCGTCAATTCATGTAGGATCCTGTTAATCACGACCTTTACGACCATGGTTAAATATTAGAGTTAATTGCCCTAAATAGGATTAAATTGTTGCTGAAATTCACAAATAGGAGTAGTCGTAACTTTATTCCCTAAATGGGATTATTATTCCAATTTTACCCTCCTATATACGCATCGGCTATCTCTTTTACGCGAATCAACTCCTCTTCATTCCTAATCCCTTCTCCCACATCAACTACTCTTCTCTGATTTGCTCTTACCTCAGGTTGCTAGATGTGTTTTTTTTTTCTCTGCTCATCTTCTCCGATTGAGAACCTGCAAGCTGCAACAGTGAGCTTCCCGGCAAGCAATAGCGAACAACAAAGGTGGGCAGAGCCAAGCAAGGGGGGAGAATAGCAAGTCGAAATCTACCACCAGAGTATCTACTCCTCCTTCCTCCTGTTATGTGTTTCTCTCTTCTCCTCTTATGTTTCATGTATGTGCTCTATTTCTTCTTTGGTGGTTCAAATTGCCAAATTTTACCTGCAAATGCCAACAAAATGGCATTATTATACTTCAAAAATTTTCTTAATTTCTTTTGAAAATGCCATTAAAATGGCATTCTTAAACCATTTTGGCATTCTAAAAAAATGTTGGCATTAGCGGCGAGGTTAGCCGAATCTGCAACAGTAACAGACTAACAGCCAGTCATCACACGACGGTAGTCGGATTTGCAAGGTTGGCGGCCAGATCTAGTTAGATCTACGACAGCAACGGTCAGATCTGCCCTGACAATGGCCAGATCTGTATCGGCGGCGGCAAGATCTATAGTGGTGGCGTCCAGTTTGAGGCGGCGGCCGGAAATCGCCGCCGGCCGGCGACTGACCGGTGTCCAGTTCTGTCAGTGGCAGTATGCTCTCCAAGCTCCAGGGGTGTTATTGTCCAAATACAAATAATAACTCCTATATATGGAATTTTTCAAGTTTAGTCCTAGTTTGACAATTAAAGAAGTATTTAGTCTTATTTAGGTGAATCTCCCTAAATGTTAATGATGGATCGGATGAGAAATTGAGAATTGAGAAAAGGTACTCTTCATAATTCCTTCAAAATAGGATATTCATCGATGAAAAAATTTAATTCATGCAAATTGCAAATTAAAACAATTAATCAAAGAATAGCATTGTGAGAGATTCACATTGATGAAATTCTGGCAAAATCGATTGAATTGGTTGAATCCGTTGAAAATGATGTAATTTTGGTTTAATCTGCTAAGTTATCAAAAAAATCTATGTAACATTAGTCAATTCCTCTAGGGAATTAACTCTATTTTTACTTATTTTCATTATTTTATATAATTCAATGCGCTTAATTAAAAGTATATACTCCTTTTGTCTCATAAAATTTTCCCAGATTGACCTTGATTGAAGTTGAAGAAAATAAGAATAAATTACAAATGTTGGTTCTGGTTGAGTAAAAAATGGGTAAATGAGTGGTGGTCACATGAAACTTTCTAGAAAAGAAAATAGAAATTGCCTTAAATAAGAACAAAAACGTTTTGAAATTCCAAAATAGGAGTATCATATTTTTTATTTCTGGAATAGGAGTAATCTGCCAAGTTAGGAAGAAAATGTCATGTCTAAAGCTTCGTAATGCCAAACTTGGTAGAAATTTACTCCTATTCAAGGAATAAAAAACATGATAGTCCTATTTTGGAATTTCAAAACATTTTTACTCCTATTTAGGAAATTCTTTCAAAAGAAAATAAGAAGATTTATTTTGGGCACTATAAAAGGTAAGTGAGATGAATTTTATAGGACAAAGGGAATATTTACCCGAAAGTTAGTTTTTTTTTACAAGTACCCGAAAGTTGGTTGATAACTGAAAACAAGTGTTACCAAATTGGCTCAAATTTATGATTCATCTAGTAAGGAATGGAGTGTTCCATGGCCGGCTCCAACAAGAACATATATTCAAAAATATATTGGGAAAATTATACAAATAAGACTTAATCATATGAAGTTTCCAAAATTAGGACTCCGAATGCGCATAGAACATAAGTACACCTGCTTTGACGGTATTACCCTTACTTTTAAATTCCATAGCAAACCACAACTCCATTTGAATAGGATTTCTTTCAAGCCGCAAGCCCTCACCGTCTCAACTTAAAATTTTGCAGAAAGCTTAAATGAAAAAAAAAGTCTGCTAGGAGTAACCGGCAATGAAGAACGGAAAGGAAATTCGGACGAAGAACAGAAGGAAATTCCGGCGAAGAATGACAAGGAAATTCCGGCGAAGAATGACAAGGAAATTCGGACGAAGAACGGAAGGAAATTCCGACGAAGAACGGAAGGAAATTCTGACGAAGAACATTTAAGCACTTGTTGGGATATATTATCCCGGCCTATTACTGTTCAGGAGCCGAAGACATTATCCAGTACGGAGCCCAAGCAGCTAGGCCCATTTCGGCCCATCCGGCCCACTTTGACCACCAGGCCTGATATCGGCCCGTTTGGCCCATTAGGGTGGAGAGCCCCTTCTCTCCTTCCCCTATAAATACGGAGCTTAGCCTCCATGTAAAGGATCCCTTTTTAGCTCTCCTTCCTCCTTTCTTTTAGACTTAGCTTACAATACTCCGTTAATGGGAGCTACAACATATGTACTTTGTAATGGTGAGGAGAGTCCTAATGAGAATGAGAGGGCTTGGACATTAGCCTTGTTGGGATATATTATCCCGGCCTATTACTGTTCAGGAACCCAAGACATTATCCAGTACGGAGCCCGAGCAGCTAGGCCCATTTCGGCCCATCCGGCCCACTTTGACCACCAGGCCCACTTCGGCCCATGCGGCCCATTAGGGTGGAGAGCCTCCTCTTCCCCTCCCCTATAAATACGGAGCTTAGCCTCCATGTAAAGGATCCTTTTCCTTAGCTTCTTCTTCCTTCTTTCTCTCTAGCTAGCTCAATACTCCATAAATGGAGCTCAAAATGTACTATGTAATGGTGAGGAGAGTCCTAATGAGAAAGAGAGGGCTTGGACATTAGCCTAAAAAGTCCCGTGGTTTTCTCCCTTTCGGGTTTCCACGTAAAAACTGAGTGTTCATACATATATTTACTATATCGTGTTGGATTAAACTCAACACTGGCGCCGTATGTGGGAATCTGTCCAAAAAGATTCGTGTGTTCTACTGTTCTTGAGTTTCTACAAAAAAGATTCATGCGAAGTGGACTGATTCCAGCAAAAAAGAAAGAAAAACTACTGATTTCAACAACAAAAATTAAGGAAGAAGCTACTGATTCTAGCAGGAAGAGGAGAGGAGAAGCTATGGATTGTGAGAAGTCCAAATCTGGATTTTCTCAGGTCTGGGTTGGAGTTACCGGAGCCGCCGTCGTCTTCCGCGCCGCCGTGGGCCCTCCGGTGGGTTCAGCTGCACTAGGAGAAGCTCGCCGTCCTGGGACCCGCCAATCCGGCTCTAGCAAACACCGCCTACGACAGAGTCGGTCATGGCTAGCTCGCAGTTGGCCCCACCGGCCACCGCCAGAATCGCCGGACCACAGCTCGTCATCAGCGGCCAACCGCTCGTCAGATCACCACCTGGTCAGTCTCCTTCCGAGCCTCCACCAGTCTTTTGACGCGAGCCAGAAGATCTGCGGTTGAGCAACCCTTGGTTTCCGCCATTAATGGCGGCTTGGAGCTCAGAAGGGACGGGTCTGAAGTCATGCGGTCCCCTCCAAAGACTAACGTCCATCGCCGCCGCCGCTCCGCCATAGCCGCCATCCCCGCCGTCAGTAAATGTCCGGCACGTACTGTTGACCTTTCGTTGGCGGGTGAATATTGCATCTGCCATACGATACTCTGTATCTGCTTTCCTTGGTGGCCAGCGGTCCACGTCCGTGGAGACAAAAGCAGTCAGGGGACGACCTGCACTACCCGGCCTTGGTGGGATGTTCATCTGCCTCCCCAAAGGATGCTCTTTACTTGGATGGAGGCTGACCACGTAGCCAAACTCTGGGAGTTAACAGTAAGGGCGGGTGGAGCACCGTGTTTTATTGGGAAAAGTCAACCATCTTACTTGATTTGTGGGAGCTGCTACGGAGTGCTTCGTACATTTCAAGCGAGCCACTAACTTGAAAGCTAAGTACTTTTCCTTATGCTTTTTATTAGTTAAAATGCTCCGTATTTCTACTAGTATTGTTGAAGTATTTTTATCACCATTATTTATTAGGGATTAAAAGCTCCCAAAATTAAATAATGTCGAGCGACGCTCTTGTGATAATTAGTTATTACCGTCATTCAAATCTAATGACTGGTTGTTGTGGGCCCGTCGGCCCGCTCCTGGTCGGCTTTAATTAGCAGGCGGAGCATACCGGAATGGCCTTTGATAGGATAACATCATTGCTATTGCCTGTTATATTTCTATTATTTATTGGGGGTAAAATGTCCCAAATTAAATAATGTGGAGCGAAGCTCTGGTGATGGTTGGTTCAGCCAACATTTTATTGAATATTTAATTTCTTGTGGGCCTGTTGGCCCACTCTCGATCAGCTTGATTAAGCGATCTGAGCGTCTCAAAAGGGTAGTGCCCCGATGACGCATTTTAATTTGGGGGTTACGCATTAGTCTGCGCGGCACAAAGTGCTCGAGCGACGATCGTACCCTAGTACCATCCGCGCCGCTAGGCGCGAAGTGACTATTGCCAAACGTGGCCTATGGGGCCCGAGGGCAGCAAAGCACTCAACCTCGTTTTTCCGAGGGCAGTGCGACTAACTTGGGTCTGAGTTTGAAAACTCACAGACCGATGAATATTTTTATGTGACGTTCGGCGGGCTGCTAATTGGCCCCGCCGCGAGCTTTTACGTCCATTAACCCCGCACGATGAGCCGGGCCGAGGGTCACGACGACCCATAGGCCGGTAATCGTGGATGTTAAAAAGAAAGCCATTCAGATGGTTAGGTGTGTATACATATTGTCGGGCCGTGCGGCCCGTTACCATGCTTATTGCGCAGTTAAAGCCACTCGACGCGCTCGAGCAAAATGATTAAAAGACGCTCGGCCCGAGTCTTGAAGACGTTCAGGGCCAGCTAAAGAGGAGACAATCGCGGTTGAGGACCGTGAGACGAGCATCTCCACCCCAGAGACTGATTGCCTAGGAAG